TAATAAAAAATAAGTAAAATAGTAATAACTACCGAACAATTAGTGACCGTAGCGATAGTAAGTTACGGAGTGGCGAGTGAGAGTAGGTAGTAATACTAGTATTCTATTTCTACTATAGGTGTTTGTTAGTATATATATATATATATATATATATATATAAAAGGAGATGCTAATAAGAGAGATTGAAAATGAAGAATTAATTCTTTCAAGTTCGGAATCCGATTCAAATGATGGTGATATTCAAATGATCCTTGCTATTGTAAGTCATCATTGATATGAATAGATTGAGTGTAAATACTTTCTCAAAGGAAGAAAAATTAATTATTGAATTGATTGATAAAATCAGTTACTTTAAAGTTAAGAAGGAAGCCTTAGTCCAATGTTAGTATATTAATATAATAAAAAATGCATCTACTCCTGAGCCTTCTCTTGTTCCTATCAGAGAATATTATAGTTTTCTAGAAATTATGAGCATGGTCCAAGATAAAAATCAGGATACAAGATAACCCTCTATTCCAGAACTAAAGCATGAGTTGAATGATGTTCAAAATGAACTTATGACTCTTAAAATCAAATTCCAAGTCTTAAAATTAGTTATTACCTCTCCTTTCAAAGGAAAAGAACAATTGGATGTTGAAAATGAATTTGATAGCTTAATGAACGATTGCCAACAGCTTAAAGCTTCTCAAATAGATGATGTTCTTCCTCACTTAGACGAAGAAGGAGAGGCTTTATCAACAAGAGGATGCAATGCAGTTGAAAAAACTCAATTAAAAGATTTAAAATATGTTAACTTTGTAGACAAAGTTATCACGCAAAGATGATTTATTTCTATAACCATAGTGGTTATTAAAGAAATAGTTTTCAAACCACTGCCCTCATAGACTCTGGTGCATATTTGAATTGTATAAATGAGGATCTAGTTTCTACTAAATACTTTAGCAAAACTATCCAGGTTCTAAATACAACTGATAATAGCAAAATGTTAATTAATTATAAGTTATTTGATGTTGCTGTTTGCAATAACATAGCATGTTTTATTATATCATTTATTATGGTTTAAGTCAGCCTGTGATTTTTGAATCACCATTTTTAAATATGTTGTATCCGATTGTTAAACTGGATGAGACTGAGATTGAATCCCAGATAAAAGGACATCAAGTTAGATTTAATTT